TGTTAAAATAGATTTATATTTTTAAATACATTATAAATGAGCATCTAGGGATAGAATGGTAAAAGCGAGGTGCGTAGTTGGAAAAGTCATAAAAAGCAACTAAGAGGAAAGGAAGTCACAGAATGTCAGTGTTTGTAGTGAGTCAGCTCACAATTTACCAAACGCGGCCTTGACTTTTTACTTTGCCACATCCTCTACGTCAAAGACTCGTAGCTCCTCCAAATAAAAACCACCAAATAAATAACTTTTTTTTTCCCACTAAGCATTGCATATAAAATAATAATAATAATAATAATAATAATAATAATAATAATAATTCTAACTAATTTTTTTCATCGACTGTATTACTTATTAAAATAATAAATATTTTTAATATTTTTTAAATGTTAATTTATTTTTAACTTTATTTAATGTTTTAGTCACCATAAATTTAAAAACCACACCTTTCCATGATTTTTACACGCTTCTCCTGTTGCTAGTCACCATAGATCTGCATGCTCATGATCTCTCTTTTGATTTTGTAAATTCAAAATCAACACATGGAACTATCAAATCTTAACACAAATGGGGGAGAGAAACTCGAGAAGCAAAGGAAGAATAAAAACATAGAAAGCAAAGAATGTCAAAATGTTCTTAAGAAAAGACAAAGAACAAGAATGAAAAAAAGAGAAAATGATCAGCAGACAATCTTAAAATTAAAAACAAATATAAATTATTTTTAAAAAATTTTAAAATGATATTATTTTATGTTTAGAATAAACTTTAACATGTCACTTAAAGTAAACTTATCATCATATTATCACATTTTAATGTTTTTTAATAATAACAACTAAAACAATTAATGCCTCTTGATTTGAAGGATTAATGTTTAAAATTATAAAAATCAAGTACTAATTTACTGAATGTAACAAATCTCATGAATTAAAGTGATGATTTAGTAAGTATTAAATTATTTTAAATCTTTACTTATTAAATCTTTTCGTTATACTACTTTACAAAATTTTATTGTAACTACATTTTATCATTATATTTTTTAATAATTTTAATTCTTATAATTAAAATTAAAATATTTAAAATAATTAAAAATATTAAAATATAATAAATATTTTTAAATTAATTACTATTATTATTTTTATATTTATGTTTATTTTTTAATTTTTAAAATATTATAACATAATAATTTTATTATTATTTATATTATTAATTTTTATTTTTATAGGTTTAAATTTAAACTATTATTATAAACTTTGTTTTTTAAAAATAAAAAAATATAATAAATATTTTATACACTTATATAAAATATAATATATTAATAAATATTGTTAAAATTTTTTTGAAATGCACTAATTTAATGCAATGTTTTGTCCAATAAATTAGTTTACTTTTAAAAAAAATTCATAAATATATTAAAAATCAGTTTTGTATTAAAAATTTAATTTAAAATTAAATTTAAAACTAATTCAACATAAAACTAAATTTATAACTAGTTTCAACAAAAACTAAATTGAACATAGTTTAAAATTTAATTCATATAATCAATTTGTGTGATGGATAGATGATAAAAAGTATAATATATCTAAATATTTATTACTTTAATAAAATATAAAAATAAAAAAATATTATTAATAAATTAAAATATACGCAAATATTTTCTTGATATGTATTGTTATTCCCTTTAGAGATATAATGGGTTAGAGTACCTCTTATATTTATATTTTATTTTTAATAAATATTGATGTTTAACAATATATATATATATATATATAATATTATATTATTTATTATAAAATTTAAATATTTTTAATATAATAATTTAATAATATAAAAAATTATAATATATTTTTACCATATATAAAAATGGTTTAAAAATTTATTCAAAATGTGAATTTTAATTATTTAACTATTAAATTGTAATTATATACTACCTTAATTACTCAAGTTAAATTTTATCAATATTAAATAACTATAAGAATATAATTTAAATATTATTATTTTATATATTTTAAAAATATATAATATTGATTTTGATGTATACTAATAAAGTATTAAATAATTTTAGATTAATATAAAATTTATAAATATGATTTGGAGCAGGATTTTTTAACCTAATGTAAGTTTAATATTTTTTACACCGAGCCTTTTTCTCCAAATAATTTATGTGATAAAAATTTTTAAACCAACAACTAATTTAGAATAAAATATGTTATAAAAGTTTTGTTTACCAGTATTAATATCATTATAACTTATGTTAGTATAATCTATAAAAATCATTCGTATATGGTTTTAATAGCAAACTTATTGAATAATAAATAATGTCACATAGACACAGCCTACAAGTTCTCACGAAGTGTTCATTGTCAGGCTTGTAATTTATTATTGAGTAATTTATAATATTTTGTACTTATTAAATGTTAATTGAAAGATTGTTTGGTATTAAAATAGATTTAGATGGAGATTGAATTATTATTTTTTTTATAAAGTAAACAGTGTCAATGAACAGTGCAAACGTGTGAAGTGGCAGTGTAAACAGTAACTCTAGCATGAACAGTAAAACAGTATGAAAAGTCCCAAAATTTTTTTTCTATAAATAGGAGTCCTTGCACGAAGTTTTCTCTTCTCTTTCTCTTTCTCTTTTTTATAGAAGTTCATGGTGTTCTTAGGAGGGACTTCATTCTAAAGCCAAATTTTCGGTAAATCTTTGATTTAAAACAAGTAATATTCGGTAGATCTGATGTGAATCACCGTTCTAAAGTAAGGATAACTTACTTTAACCTATGAACTATGTTTTGAATAGTTTGATATGCTATTAAAAAAAAATGTTTGAGTTAGTTTTGTTAGATCTTTTGAATAAAAGCTGAGATATAAAGGATTTAATATTTAAAAGTTATTTTTCTATGTTGTAACTACTAATAACTAATTTAATAACACTGAGATTTAACTGATTTATTATAAACTTGTCTTAACTAAGCTGTTGAAATAATTTTAGCCGTGCTGCATCATGCTGAGATATATGTCTTACATCATTATAGAGCTGAGTTACACGTTTAAGTGGGTAAATGTATAACGATAGAGCATGCTGAGCTGTGTTATGATGTGTTGTGCTGTCTGGATCCAGATGCCGGGATGGGTCACTCCCGGACCGGCTCGATTCCTTTTGAATTACTTAAGCTGTGAAACTATTTGGAAATCATTTTCATGTTGTGCATTAGATGGGCTGGAAATGTATAGGGTTGTTGCTATGAGTAAATATTTTACTCTATATATATGATTTTATTTTAATTTTGTAAGCTCACCCTTGTATTTCTGTCTATGTTGTGTGTGTGTATACTGCGATGATCGTACGGTAGTACATGAGCAGATGTAGCAGGTGTTGCATCTACTTCACAGGCGAGAGGCTAGTGAAGAAATTTTAGAAGATAGAGTTGAGTAATTTTGCATTAAAGTCTTATTTTCTTATATTTTAAGACCTCATATAGAGGGAGCTATGTAATATAATTTTGTGTATTTTGAATATTATGAACTAAATGTAATATTATGTTGTTCTATTGGATATTTGTTGAAAGAAACTTTGTTTTATTTTGAATGAGAAGTGAATTTTATACTTGTATTCTCTATTATTTATCTATCTTAAATAAGTAAGTGGTGTAGAAATAATGTTCTCGGTTCCTTATAAAAAGGGGATTATGACATTTTAGTGGTTCAGCCTGTGAAGTAAATGCAACACCTATTACATCTGTTCATGTATCACCGTACGATTATCGTAGTACACATGCACATAATAGTATAGATAGAAATGCAAGAAGCCGGAGTCAAGTAATTTTGTATTAATGTCTTTTTTTCCTTATATTTTTAGACCTCATATAGAGGGAGCTATGTAGTATAATTTTGTATATTTTGAATATTATAAATTAAATGTAATATTACGTTGTTCTATTAGATATTTGTTGTAAGAAACTTTGTTTTACTTTGAATGAGAAGTGAATTTTATATTTATATTCTCCATTATTTATCTATCTTAAATAAGTAAGTGGCGTAAAAATAATGTTCTCGGTTCCTTATAAAAAATGAGTCGTGACATTCATATGCATATCTTGTACTTGGTTTTCAAAAGTTTATTCTTCATAAATGACAACAAAATTATCACAATTTTTTTTGTCTACTTAAAAAAATAATAAAAATAATAATTTGTTGTTATTTTTTACGTTTGAATTTAATCGAATGTACTTTTTTTTTACATTATTATCGCTACAAATGCACTTATTTTTATGTTGTATAGTTAAAAATTGTTTATTTTTGGAAATATTATTTTAAATTTATATTTATAGATTTTTTAATTAATTAACAATATAATTTTTTATATGATTAGTTTATTAAAATTAAATTAATAATATTTTCTTATAATAATTTAGAATTAAAATAATATTTTTATAACCATTTCTAACAAAGAAGAAACAAGAGAAAACGTTTTGTCAAGTTAACCCTGGATTTTCTTAATTAGGAAAAACATTTGTGTTCGTTTCTTCATGGAACCTCACATAAGCTTACTTTCTTTGACCCGCAGCCCCATCTCCTTTTTCTGCTTTTTAATGTTTGTTCTTCCCATTTATGGTTCCCATGCAAGAAAAAACAAACGCAAAAAACACCAAGACAAAAACAGGAACATTATATATTTATATAAGTAAATAAATTTATTTATTAAATTTGTGAGTATAAATGTAAGAGAGGAAGTAGTATTCATTATTGTATAATTAAGAGACGAAAGCAGATAAGAGAGAGAAGAATAAAATAAAATAAATTAAGAATAGAAGAATTATATATTTTATAAAGGGGCTATGATCAACAAACCGAAACGGGGTCGAGTTCCAACTTCCAAAGTCCAAACCGTGAAAGCTTTGAACCACTCAAAACCAACTTGTGGGTTGGACTTTGGAAAAAAAAAAAAACAAGACAACGCAGAAGTAAACTTGGAACTTTATAACGACCCACCCTTTTGTTTTCCCATTCGAAGGTGCATTGGCAGATTCGTTGTGGAATTCAAAGAACACCCTTTTCTCTCTGTCCTATTTTTGACACGTATTTGAATGACTGCTGCTTCCTTTGAATTATGTCTTCCTCGGACCATATATATAACCAAGCCAACCCACTGACATACCCCATCTGTGTTCATCTATATTCACTACTTGTTCTTCGTGTCATACTTCAATCGGTATATACCTCAGACATATCTTCATACGTAATTCAAGAAAGGTAAATCATTCATGTTGGATTTTCCTATCTGTTGCTTTTGATGATGTTTGTCATATCAATATATATCCTGCTGTTTAATAGTTTAGGAAAGAAGTTTAGAGGAAAATGGATCACTAGAATATATATATGTCTATGGTTTAACAAGAATAATGATAGATTAACGTGAAGTCTGATAAATTGAGGGGTTCTGAAATTTGTCTATGGTGGATTTGTTGTTCAATAAACTCTTTATATACGAGTGCTTATCATATTTGACAGTAAAATTTCATAAAATAAACTAAAAAGTATTTATTGGGTTAAAATTTATTAAAATAAGTTTAAAAATCTTACGAGAATTATAAAATATTTTTTATAAGCACCCTTTTTAACACTAATAACGTGTATTAATTGGGCAGGACTCGTAAAGTGATAGTTTTATTGCATTAAATTGAAGTGTTGGGGGTTCTACATCTCTATGGGATTATCACTTTCCTTACTCTCATCAGCCTGGGAAGAAATTGTTAGACGCTCACTCTTTGGTGAATTTCTCAACTTGAGTTTTGGTTCCAAAGATGGGGCTGTGATTTTGAGAGCAGCAAGTTTCAACAAAAGTGAATCAGAAAGTACTAAGGTGTTGTCAAAGGGTTCAACTATAACCAACCGTTCAAGTAAGTTGAAGGATTATAGACCCCATAATGTGATCCCTGAAAGAAACTTCTCAGATATGGAGATGATGGGTTCAGAGTCTCTTGCAAATGGAAGTGAACAGGTGCAGCATAAGCCAGTGCCTGTTCTTTCTCTTCCTGAAGCAGTAGTTTTCTCTTCCCCAAGACCGGTGAGTGAGCTTGATGCTGCGGCAACTAAACTTCAGAAAGTGTACAAGAGTTACCGTACAAGAAGAAACCTTGCAGATTGTGCTGTTGTAGTGGAAGAGCTCTGGTAAGTCTCATCAATCCGAAACAATATACATTATTGAGATTGATTCTGAGTTTGGTTTAGTTTATTTTTTTAAAAGAAATTGCTATTATGAAATAGAAACTATGATCTTATCAGCAAATAATGTAACAATGTTATGTTACAAGAGGAAAAAAATGCAAAATAAAATTAATGAACCTTACACAAATAATAACAAGGCATTAGACTAATTAACCCAAATAATATTGGGGTATTAGACTAGTTAATATGAGAGGATTTAGATCTATATTTTCAGTTTGGAGATTTGCTTAATATGTTACTAAATGATGAGTTTAAAATGATGTAGGTGGAAGGCATTAGACTTTGCTGCTCTTAAACGGAGCTCTGTTTCATTCTTTGATGTGCAAAAGCAAGAAACCGCCGTGTCACGGTGGGCAAGGGCAAGGACAAGAGCAGCTAAGGTATATTTCACATAAATTTGATATTCTCTAAATTAAAGTAAATTATTCATTTTTTTTATTCATGATATATTTTTAATTGGGGTATTGTTGTTGCTAATTGTTTCTTATACAGGTTGGAAAAGGTTTGTCCAAGGATGATAAGGCTCAAAAATTATCCCTGCAACATTGGCTCGAAGCTGTAAGTTATCCATTATATGCCTTGAAATCATATTAATTACCCTTTAATTTATGCTCTAATCTAATATTAACAATGCCCATTCCTTCTTGTTTTGAGCACAGATTGACCCACGTCATCGGTATGGACACAATTTACACATATATTATGACATTTGGTTTGAAAGCCAAAGCACCCAACCATTTTTCTACTGGTAAACTCTTATTCTATATGTGTATGTGAATTATATTCAATAGCTTAAAATTAATTTTACTAAATTTTGTTCTTTACAGGTTGGATGTTGGAGATGGTAAAGAAATAAACCTTGAGAAATGCCCAAGGGCAACTCTACAACGGCAGTGCATTAAATATCTGGGTCCAGTAAGTTATCACTGTTCAAATGTTTGTGCATAAACCTGTCTCATACGTAATCTAATGTTTATGTTTGATGTTTCCTTTGCAGAACGAAAGGGAAGAGTATGAAGTAGTTGTTGAAAATGGGAAGTTAGTGTACAGACAGGATGGGAGGCTTGTGGACACTGATGGAAAATCCAAATGGATATTTGTTCTTAGCACTACAAGATCCTTGTATGTGGGGAGGAAGCAAAAGGGTGCATTTCAACACTCTAGCTTTCTATCTGGGGCTGCTACCACTGCTGCTGGCCGATTAGTGGCTCAACAGGGTGTTCTTGAGGTATAAACACCTTTTTAACATATCACACGGATAATGTTTAATCTTAATTTTAATTAAATTAATAAATCAACGAATCATGTATTCTTACTTTGTCACATTATAAATTTTATCATTCAGAAAAGAAATATTCATTTGCCACTACGTAAGCAATTCACTTACACAAAAGTGTTACATAAACATTGCAGGCTATTTGGCCATATAGCGGCCACTATCACCCAACAGAAGAGAACTTCAAAGAATTTATAAGCTTTCTTGAAGAGCATAATGTGGATCTCTCTAATGTAAAGGTATATACACTTATAAAATTGTCACTCTTATGGACGTTAGCAAAATTAAAAATTGGTTATGAAATTAATAGCTGATGATGGTTGTTATACTGTGGCAGAGATGTGCTATAGATGAAGATGCTCCTTCAATTATTGGGACCAATTCATTTACCGACACTAATGAATCACAACAAATTAAGGGTCCCATTACAACTTCCACAAACATGAACAACAATAGCAGCGACACCATTAATGTAACAGTCGATGAAGAGGGTGACAAGAAGATTGAGGGGCCAGTGTTTGACATGTCGAAGAGGTTGTCATGCAAGTGGTCCACTGGGACTGGACCCCGTATTGGGTGTGTGCGTGACTACCCTGGACACCTTCAATCAAGAGCGTTGGAGCAAGTTAATCTGTCCCCAAGACCTGCTTCTGCACGCTCATATAACTATGGCCCAATCCCTTCTCCCAGGCCCAGCCCAAAAGTTAGGATGTCTCCTAGGCTTGCTTACATGGGGCTACCCAGCCCAAGAGCCTCAATTCCTGCTCCAAGTTGAGACAAGTGAAGCGTTGAAGGATATACATATACACAAATACAAGTGTCAGCTATGGTGATAGTTGAGTTGAGGACAATGAAAAGAGAGACCAACAATTTCTCTCTCATTTTTTTTTTTAGAATTTGTTTATTCCTTTATTCTTTGAATTTGAATTCTTGGACTTAGCTGAGGCACATTGTATAATTTACCCTATTTGTCTGTAGTTTTTTCTTTTGAAAGGCCGTTTGGCTAATTCTTTACTGTAAGTAAGTACAAATTTTCTAATTAAACATGTTTTAAATCAGGGAAAGAATGAGATTCCAACGCAGGATTGTCGTTGTATGTTTACGATATAGTTTTCATTTTGTTGCAGAGAGAAAATGGGCAAAAAACTAAAAAGAAAGAAAGGATATTAAAAAAAACAGTTAATTTTTCTGTTTATCATTTGACTGAAGAAAAAAAAGGGACAATAAGATGATAAACTTTCTTTCATCTGATCTAATTTGAAAGAAAAATAAGAGGAAAGAAAATATAATTAAGTTAAATGACTTTTATATCTTTTAATATTAGGTGAACAAGAAAATATAAATTTTGTTGTCGTTATACTAAACTTTTCTCGTATTCCTTTTTACTTAATAAAGGAAAAAAATTTATAAATTTTCCCTCTATTTCTTGTTTGTCTTCATAATCAAATGCTAAAGAGAATGAAATATTATATTTTTCGTCCAATTTCCCTCGTCATAAAACCTTATATTATTTAATGACATATATACTGGAATAATAATTTTAATATATGATTAGTGTAAAAAGTTGTACACTTATATCTATTGACGCATTTGAATATTAAATAAAATGTCAATGTATCATTAATTGGGACTTAAAGTGAGTATTACTCGTTAGACTCAAACTAATTTGAGTTTTAATGACTTTTCAATACCAAAATCTCAGAAAGAAACATATCATTGACTTCAAACAATAGATTAAATTAAACTTTATTATTCTAAGGATAACGTAAATTTAGAGGCTTAAAAGCTATTACTCCCTATAATATTACGTACATTGTCCTTGGAAAATATTTTGATATGAAATCAATGAAATTTTAAGTGGTTTTGACTGAAATGAAGTTTCACATAGTTTAGACATGAAAATTTGCATCCCAATCAAATTCGAATACCTTGTATTAGCCTTATTGTTTGGCACAATAGTAAGCTTGTTTCCAACCGCAATATCATTCTAATTTGTCAATAGATCGGGTTTATTGAAAAATAGAAACATGTTATTCTCCTAATCTTTGCCTTTTAAACACAATTTTGAGCAGTATCTTGAGTTAATGTTTGATTGGATGTAAATTGGTGAAAGACAATTCAGGAGTGAAGAATCAAATCACTCAATCACCAATTGTACCAGGAAAAGAGAAATGGCCAAAACAAATGTATGATTACATTAGCTTTGAGTTAACATTCTTCAGTAATCATTTAATTTGGTACACCATAAATATAGTTGTCATAACTAATTTAGAGGTGGTAACACCAATTTTGTAGGGGCCATATGCCCCTTGAGGTTTTCTCTAAAGGGGCACTGATATGGTAATCTTTGCCTGCAGATTGCAGTGTGCAGGGTGCAGATTGCAGTGAGGGGGTGCAGCAACATTGTAGGTGCAGAAGAGGGGCCACAACCCAAAATCTTATTTCAGGGCACACAAAGGTGACTTGGGTATTGCACAAACTGTGTCAATCTTTCTTCCTACAACACTCTGCAACCATCACTGTCAAAGTTCATTTATGCACTGAACAGTCTCTCCTCAGTGATTTCCATGTGTTGGGTTTTTGATTCTTGCGTTGCGTGCTTTGCTTGTGGATATTGGAGACAAAGTGCACCTTTCTTTCCCTTGTTATTACTATTTTGCCTAATGAATAATGACGACACCATCATGTACGTTTCCAAAACTATGCAATTGTAATTATACTCACTTTGTCTTATGTTACATATAATTTGTTATTTCAAAGTAGAAAAAAATAATAACTTATTTACAATAATATTTATATTATTAAAGATTATTTTTATAAAGTAATTAGTATAATAATTCTATTATTTTTTAAGTTTTGCATTAATTAAAGAATAAAAAAATTATTAAAATTATGTGAGAGATATATTTATTATAAGTTTTAACAAAAAAAATTATTCTTAACTTCTTAAAATACTGTTTAGCATTTGTCTTGTTTCTTTTTAACTAATTAAGGCAATAACTTAACACTTTTTATAAATTATTTCAGTTAAATTATTTTATTTTATGGTAATAATGAAAAATAATTATTTTTCATATTTATAATATAAAATCATATTGGAATTTATATCATATTGTCTTTTTTTTTATAAATCAAAGGAAAAGAGAAATTTCATAAAGCACAAGTTAAAAGATCAACCAAATCATGGTACTACTAGTCGGTTTTGGAATGACTAATTCCAATTCAACTGAATTATTTGATTCAGCTGACAGATCTTGATCTTTAGAATGAATTGGGATGTAAGTGAAGAAATTCTCATACACATAAGGGAAAGAAGCAGAACGAGTAGAGTGTGGCCCCTACACCTGAAGAACAAACATGTGAGTTCCTAGTTAAGTTACCAAAGTATAAATTTGTTTATAACTGTAGAGTGAGTAATTTATTAAAGGTAAAGTTAGTTTCGTAATAATTTGCACCCTTTTTATATATATTTTTTGTCTTTTTTATGTAGAAATTTTTGAACAGGAATTAAAATACAATTGCTCTAAAATGCAATGAGTCCAATCAAAGCATGGGCTTTTTCTTTGGTTCCTGTCAATGTACCTACACGAGTTAAAGTTTCCCACGATATTTCAACATTCATTAATGCCAAATTAAACTGAAAATGGTGACTGCGCAAACACTTAGAGCGAGTGAGGAAAGTGTACATATTGGGCAAGTGAGAAAGAGAATTTGATGTTCACTTGAATGAACACTGCTACAATGAATCAACCTCACTCTTCTTTGACCGTCATTAGTGATTCAATGAGGGTAGATTCGGTGCATGATTCCTGTTTCCCCTCATCCAACCTGTATGAAATTGACTTCACCATAAAGTGTGCATTCCATTCTGCCTCTAATATCAAAAGAAGACTTCAAAGTAGCCTAATAATAATAATAATATCAAATTATCAATCAGTTGACACAATTATGAAATGGGCAGAATTTAAGATTCAATTATCAAAATTATTAAAAATAATCTGTTTAAAATTAATTTAAAGGCTGATATTAAATGCTTTTATTAAATTATGTATACAAAATTTTCAAGAACTTGACTTGGTCTGATGAAGTCAATTCAGAACTGTTAAAATAAAGAAAAAAGAGTGAAGAAGTAGGTCTGCAGTGTAGGCAGTCTAAGACTTTCTACCCTTTTTTGAAGTTCAACAGTCCATAGAGACAGCAGCTCGGTAATCAATTAACAAGGGGTTCGATTCAGGTGCACCTGCCACACTTATTATTTGATGGATAAAAAAAGTTTGTAAATATTATTTGAATAAAATATTTGCATGATTTTTATTATATTTTAGAGATATTGAAAGATAAAAAAATAAATAATAAAATGGATTGTGTGATAAAAAAAATTAGTGTAAAAATACTATAATTCAATAAGGATTAAGATATTTTGTATATGTATAAAAATAAGAGAAAAGGAATTAAGAAAAGGGGAGTTTGTTTTAAAAATGAAACTTACGAATAGATGTTTAGATACTATTTATTAATTAAAATTAGTTTTATTTTAAAAATTTATAATAATTTCAAATACAAATATTTAATAAATATAAGATTTTAATTTTAATTATCAATATATCCAAAAATAATAATTTTTTATCTTAAATTTTTTTTAAATGGTTGAATTATAACTTAAAAGAGACAATTTAACAACATTTGTATCAAATAACAAAGAATAATTTATATTTAAATATCAGTAATTTTATAACAATTTGTAAAATAGACATTATAAACTTTAAAAAATATAAAAACTTAAAAAAAAAAAACAGCATTTAACTACAAAATATCTTCTTCTTTTTTCTCTAAGTAAGGAGTAATTGGAAGGAGGGAGGGGGCACACAGGGTTTTAAAGCCTTTTTTCTTAATGGCGTTTATTTTAAATAAAAAATTATAGAATATAAAATAAAAATATTTTCATAATTTTATCTAAACTTATTTTTTATGATTATTATAAATATTTTTTTAATGCATTTTTTAAATTTTTTTCATTTAAATAGATGGATAAAATTATTATCATCATTACTCATTCATTCATTTAAATAATATTTTTTTACTTTATAATTTTCACTCTCTTATTTATTTTTTCTTCATTTCATTTCTTATATAAACATATCCTTAATAACAAATATAGTCAAGATAATAAGATGTAGACAAACAAAGTTACATAAAGTATAATAAGAGATGTGTAGTTGATTTTAATTTTATTTCATTTGAAAGTAAAAAATCAAAACAAATTGCATAAAAAAATAGTTTTAAAAATTCCCAATTAACAGCAAGATTAGCTTGCTATTTCCATTATCAGTTTAAAAGAGTTAATGATCATTCCTAATCGAGATTCTCTCTATTTTAGTATCTGTTTTTTTCAGGTGTAGTAGACCATCATGGTTATTATCTATCATAAACAAATAGCATGGCAAGTTCCCCTCCCACCAATTTGTACAGCCTTCTCGATCAACATCTCCCTCTGTAGGACAAGTCATTTGTCAAAACAAATGTTAAGAAATGCCAACCTGTTTGCCATTTATCTGAGAAGTGATTATCAACCTTGCTCAACCAAGGTAAATAAATAAAAGAGCGAGTAAATTCAAAAGAAATGATGAAAATAAAACACACAAGGGTGCAAAACCTTCTTAACAAATTGTAACTTCTTTATTTTATTTTAGGAATTTGCAGCAAATCTTTGGCGGGGTCTCTGGCATATCTTTCTCTGTCTGCTTTTTGTTCTTTTTGTGACATGTTGCACCAATCTCATTCAACAACAGTGATTTTTGGTCTCTTCAAGTGAGTAAGATTCGTCAACTCCAAACTTTGCTAGTGCTTTACTTATTGTGGTTATATCCATCTATCTTTCTTCTCTCACACGCCCTTCGGCATAAAGTTGATCATTATTGATACCAATATCCTTTTAGAATTTCCGCAACTATGAAGACAAGAAGAATGTGCCACATTCTAATGGTCTCAATTCTACTCATCGCGAGTTTGGTTTGTGCAGCAAGCAAGCCTTTGTCCCTCTTTGGTGCTTCAACTCAACAAGGTTAGTAGCTTCATTAGCATACACGTTACCATAGAATCACTTCTTCTTTCACATCTTAATATTACCGACACTTGCTTCACTTCACTTCACTTCAAGTAGCATAAATCCCACTTCCCATTTTCTCTCTCTCTTCTAATGAAATATTGTCTTTTTCACCTTTTGTTGGTTACCACTTACAAACAGCACTATTTAAACAGTCCGCCACAGTAGTTGATCCCACAACCACAATTCAACATGCCTCAAGACATGCTTTTGACCCTACACAGGTACCACTTTGTCTTTTAAGCTTGTAATCAGAGGCAGATGTAATTTTATACGATACTAAAAATTTACGTTTGAATTGTCATATATTCATGTTTATTTTAATGTATTAGTTATAACTTTTTATGAAATTTATAGTTACAGGTATTTTAACGTGTTTTAAACACAGCCTTTATTTGTGATGTGTGTTTTACATGATTATGTTTTGCAAGGGAAATGAAAGAATATTGAAAGCAAAGGGCAATGGGTATGAAGAAGCATTAAGGGGACTGACGAGGCTAGGCTCAACACCACCAAGGTGTGAGCACAAATGTGGAGGCTGCATTCCCTGTGATCCCATTCAAATTCCTACCAACAATGATATTCTGGGGGTTAAGTATGCCAATTACGAGCCTGAAGGATGGAAATGCAAGTGTGGCAATTCTTACTTCAACCCATAATATAACCCCTTTAACAAGAAGAGTTTCTAGTTATGTTTCTGTATAAAGTTCTTGTTTATTATTCATATATGAAGTGACGGTGTTCATATCCTTCCATGTTTGGTTACAACTAACGAATTTTGTGTTAAAACGAACACTTTTTTCACTGCATGGATTTCAGATGATTAGGCGTGATGAAGCTTTGTATTATATATCCAACTAAAATTTATACATAACAAAATAATATTATACAATTGCGTAAATTACACTCACCCTTCTTCAAATTTAATGAAATTTCATTTTATTTTTCCTTTGTCATTCTCCTTGTTTTTTTTTTAAGTTTTGGATTGATGATATAACGATTTTAAAGATAAGTTTTCTTAAAAGAAATAAAATTAAAATTGTAACATAATTCTAACATTATTATTTTAATTTTTTTCTAAAGAGAATGTCGTATATTATTTATATTTACTTTAATTTATTCAACATTAATCAATATGTACTTTAGCTGTGAGGCATTAAATGAAATGTATTGTAGACTGCGAAACACCCTTTTAAAATTTATTCTTACCATCTATTTATTACAAGAAAAGAATCATAAAAATTAAATTATTAAATAAATATAAAGAATATTACAATAGTAACATGTAATTTGTATTTGATCATATTTAGATTTAATAAGATTAATTTAACATTTTGTTTGATAATCAAAACTAAAAGAAAAGGAATAACATTTAACTCATTAAATATCCTTATACAATTAAAGTATAATAAAATTGAGTATTTTATCTTATTTTTTATGCTCATATGTTGACTTAAAGAAATAAACTTAAATTCTTCTTTTTCTTTTATTTACTCCTTGTTTTTATATTTATTTATTTATTATATTATTATTGTCATTGAAATTTTCAACTAAGTTTTCTAAGAGAATCATTACTCAACTAAAACATGATTGTCTTTGATTAAAAAAATACATAATTATCTCGGATAAAGAAAATATGTATGATTTAGAAAAAAAAAAGAAAAAAGAGAACCATTTTAAACAATCTTAAAACTTCCAGTTTTTTTTAATCTCTTGGATGATATGCTGACTCTTAATCAGGTTTCGATTATATTGTATATGTTCATTGCATTAGGTTTTTCTATTCCTATTGCTCCATACACTTATAAAACTAATAGACTCAATGCATGCTAAGCATTATCTGTCAAGTATTATATAAAATATTTATGAAAATTTTAAGATTTATAGAAAACAGAATTAAACTCAATTCACCTCTTCTTAATTTTTATATAATAAACATTTTCCTCCTTACTATTTTTTTTTAGTTTTGTGTCTTTACCTTCAACGATAAGGAGTGGAAACGAAATTAGTTAAATTAAAAGTTCAGGCTTAGCCTGTTTACTCTATATGGTTTTCCGTCAAGAGTTATGTTCTCACAATTGAGTTTCCCAATTTAAAGATTACAGGAGAATACTTTTGTAGATTTTTACAAAACGCATTTCATTTAAAGAAGGTTATTTATCAACTAAAACTTATACTATCATAAATATTACTAGTTTTATTTTTATTTATTTATTTAGTTATAAAAGTTGAATTAATATTAAAGTTATTTTATTATAATAATTAAAGTATTTATATTATTTTAATAATGGAAAGATAAAAGCAATATAACATAGTAGAATACATAATTTTTTTGGTCAAATGATTCTAATAAAATTATTTAATAATCTTATTTATATATTTTTAAATAAATAAGTAAGATTATGGGATAATTCCTAATTATCATTTGCATTTCATCTCAGTAAAATTTATATGTGTTTTATTAAATTAAAATAGACTTTTACATAAAGAATTAAAAAATATGATATATTCATTTTTGAATTTAATAAGTTCATCAAATCTTATAATTATCAATTAAAAATAAAAATATAAAAAATAAAAAATAAATTTAAATTAACGATGAACTAAAAAAAGGGTAAATAAAAAAAGTGACGTTGAGTGACACGTGGGATTAAAAGTCATGTGATGGTGGGGTCCAGTGAGCAGTGACAGCTCAGCGGAAGCTAATTGAGCTTGAACACACAAAAATAACCGACGGTTAGAAAGAATGTTTGTGGTTGCACTGTATCAAATCCAAACCATAATGCATGAGAGAGAATTTTCATTTCCAATTTTCCATCATCATTTTCTTTTAACCCAACCCACACAACACAACACTATTTTCTTCTCAATCCATATCTCTCATTCCCAATTTCATTTTTATTTTTATTAATTTTTTTATTTTTTATTTTTCTGTTTTTCTCTTTTCTTACTCTTCCGTTGTAGCTAACTTTTTTTTTTGCTTTCCGTGGTTTTTTTATCCGATCGATGAACACAGCTTCTTGGTTTCGTCAACTTTTGGCATTAAATGTTTTCCTCTTTTGGAATTTGGCGTTGGGATTAGCTTAGGGTTTCAAAAAATCTCTCTCTCTCTCTCTGTGTTTTTTTTTGTTTTTGGAATTTTTGTTTTTTGTTTTAATGGAACCTCGCGTTGGGAATAAGTTTCGGCTTGGCCGCAAGATCGGCAGCGGCTCGTTTGGAGAGATCTATTTAGGTTGCTTTGCTTTCATTTTGTTATTGTAATTATTGTTATTTTGATTTTGAACTGTTGTTCGTAATTTGCCTGTGTTGTTTTTGTTGTGGTGTTGATGATGATGATGATGATGAGCCTCTTTTTTAATTGAGCAGGTACTAATATTCAAACAAATGAAGAGGTTGCAATTAAGCTTGTAAGTGCTGTTGACCTGACCAATTGTGTTTTGGTTATATTGAATTAGAAATAGAATTGAGTAGTTTTGTTTTTTGTGGTTGAAGTCTGAAGGAGAGGACAATTTGTCAGGCTTTGTATTAACTGTTGTTCAGCCACCAGTGATCTGAAACTGGTTTCATGTGAAGTCAGTTTCTGCAATGGATTGTGAAATTTTGGGTTCGGGTTGCATTTTGTCCTTGTGTTCTTAATGTCATTGATTGGTGTGTTCTATTCCGGGTTGGTGTCTGTGACTGTGTCTTCACTGAGCTTATTTTTTCCAAGTTTTTGGGAGGGTAATGGGGTGGACACTTGAGGGGTTTTCATGAGAGACATTTTTCACTGTTTCGTCACCTGTCTTTATGGTGTGAGCGAAAATTTTGTTATGTAGTAGATTCAAAATTATTGAAGTACTCTATGTCTGCTCCTGTTCAAAGGCAGAATTAAAACATTGTTGGTCTGTCCTGCTTGGTTTAACAGTTAACACTTCAGAGCTGGTTGGAATCTAAGTTCAATTCTTTTAGATGTAAAATTGAGGTGGGCTTGTGTAAATTTTGTATGCATGGGAATGTTGACATGCTTCTAATTGGTGCACTTTTCCTAGCATCGTGATGACTGTCAAAAGCAAGTGTTTTCATTAATAATGTTAGGGATTCAAATAAGGAATGGGCTTTTATTTTTTAATTAGTGAATGGTTCAGATTTTAGATTATTATTTTTTTAATACAATAAGATTATCATGGCCGGCATTGCTTATTACCTTCTATGACATGCATGACTCTAATTTGTGACAAAAGGTTTCATTCATTTCATAGTGCCTTTTTTACCTTTTTATCGCGCCTTAAAATGACTATGCACGTGATGCATATGCTTTATGAGGGAAAATTGCGTTTAGTTGATCTTCCTAGCATACTTTTGCACAATCAATGAAAGAGGTCAACTTGACCAAAGTTGAAAATCATCATGATAATCTTGTAGAAGTTAAAACTTTTAGATCCTGGCTTTTAGATATATGGTTATTCTTTTTAACATTTCTTTGTCCCTCAATTAATTTTTACTTTTGTAGCTATCCATTTTATCTAGAAAGAGTGTACATGTGTGGAACATTTAATGATTAGGCACTATTATTAGTCTCTGAAAGAGAATCCTTTAAAACTATAAAGGTATAAAAGGCTGGCGAAATGAATCATCTGCAAATTTAATACTAATTTATCTGCAGTCTGTGAGATTAACTGTTAAAGTAGACCAATATCCTAATATGGCGTAACATTATTCCTGAAATGGTCTCTACCTGGAGTTTGCTGATCATTTGGACTTTGTTTTTCTTAGGTAATTACTAGATTCTGGATATCTTTGAATGCTCCAGGGCTGATTTTCTTATTCTTTCTTTGTTTCCCCATCTCCTTTTCCTGTTCTTTGCTGCTCTCTGGTCTTTTATATTAGGAAAATGTCAAAACAAAGCATCCTCAGTTGCTGTATGAGTCCAAGTTGTACAGAGTTCTCCAGGGAGGAAGTAATGTCTCTTCTCCTATTTTGTTTGTCTTTATTTGGTTTGCACCTTTATAAGTTGTTCTAACACGAGTTTGGTATTGGCAGCTGGAATTCCAAATGTTAGATGGTTTGGAGTAGAGGGAGATTACAATGTTCTCGTGATGGATCTGCTTGGACCTAGTCTTGAAGATCTCTTTAACTTCTGCAGCAGAAAGCTCTCACTAAAGACAGTTCTCATGCTTGCTGATCAGATGGTAGGCCCTGTGATACCGTAATCTTTCCCCATCTTATGAGTTAGGAGAGAAGTGATACAATTAACTACTGACTTATTTTGGTCCTCAAGGTCCTATTTATACAATTGATTGGAACTAACTACCTGGTTAATTAATAAACTAATGGTGACTCGTGTTTTGTTTTTTTCCAGATCAACCGTGTGGAGTTTGTTCATTCAAAATCTTTTCTACATCGGGATATCAAACCTGATAATTTCCTCATGGGCTTGGGAAGGCGGGCAAACCAGGTGGCTAATCTTGTTCACATGTAGGCTTTGGATTTATTGGATGTTAATGTAGTAGGTATTTAATCCATGTTGAACTACATGCAGGTTTATTGTATTGATTTTGGTTTGGCGAAGAAATATAGAGATAGTTCAACCCATCAACACATTCCTTACAGGTACAAACAAGGATTCAATTACTAATCTAGGTTATTCCTGTTGCTAGACCTTGTTGCCTAGTGGAATTGATATGACTTAATATTGACATTGTAACTTTTCATGTTGTGATTGTTGTCTTAACACCATTTATCCTCAGCTTCATGTTAAAAAAGTTTAGAAAATGTACATACCTGAGGGAGGATGTATACATATGATTTTTTAAGAGCATAATTACATGTTTGCATTATCAAACATTTTGTTGTCAGTAAAGCTAGATCAGCTGCTCATGTTCTAGTTGACTAATATATTGATGGGTGCTCACCCCATCAGATGTCCTTAAATGTATGAAGTTGCTCTGAATGCTTATATTCAGATACTATACACTTGCTGGATTTTGTGCCTTCTTGGGTGTTGATGGAAATTTGAAACAAATTCAGGGATGTTTAAGTTTTTACTAGTTTCTTAAAGCTATGTGAATTTGCATTGTTTTGTAACTTTCAATAATTCTTAGTTTTGAATTTGGTTCTAAATTAGATTAGTATTACAGTCAATATTATTTTTTGACAAGTTTTGGTGATTCCTTGTTGAAATTGAAAATAAAATACAGAGAGAACGAGCATAGAAATAAGGAAATTTTTATTTCAAATAAAAATGATTAGTTTTAAAATCAATTTTTGTAAGATTTATTTTCTTGGTCATGGACCAAACACAACACAATAACATCATTTGACCCCATATAACTGACTTCACATAGTTGGATGAGGCTTTGTGTGTTGTACCAAGACATTGTAAAATCAGTTATTTTATTTTTCAATCTACCTCATAAATGAAATTTAGTGTCTTCCTTGGGTCAGAACTAAGGTTATTATTGTTTGATGGTGCTAAGAAAGCTAGAAATGTTGTGACTTGAGCATGGCTGGCTGTAAACAGAAACACATGTAAGCAGACATTAAGGAATAAGAAAGAAGGAAAGTCAAGAAGGGGATGGGAATAGATTGAAGACTTTCTAGTTTTCTACAATGAGATTCGTGTTAAAACACCTGAAAAGACAACTCCGAATCTGTAATGTAACTTTATTTTGAAGTAATATTTTTGTAGTGTTAATGACAAATACTCTCTTTATGTACTATTTGGCTAATATCAGGACTCAGAGATAGACTTAGATATTAAACTAATCTAAAGAATCCTCATAATCTACTAGAATCCTGAAAATAGAAATTCAGTTATTTTCCTTTATTGAAATTATGATTCTTCTTCATGTGGAATCTTCCAAGTTTCCAAAACTTGGAATGTCTGTGTGTGTGTGTAATATTGATGCCTCTCTTCCTGTATCTTTTATAATTTGTAGACAATTTTTATTTTGCACTGATGCCATTGTTTAATTTTCTATTCAGAAGTAATTTTATTATCTGATTTGTAGGTGGTGAGCTGTGTATTTAATTTAATTATGGGTAGAATGCGTTTTCATGTTGCCATATCATCCTTGTTTAGTGGTTTCTAAGATAAGGTTGTGATTCTTGTTAGTGATGTCACATCGCCGGATTTTATGTAGCCCAGACTTGGCTGGTGTTGTTTTAATTGTAATTTATATTGTTGACGTGAAATGTAATCTACTTGTTTGTTTAAACTGCAGGGAAAATAAGAATTTAACTGGGACTGCTAGATATGCTAGTATGAATACCCACCTTGGCATTGGTATGTATTGTATGATTCTTATGGGGAATTTGTGTTATGCGTGACAAAGTTGTGTTATCTAACTGATATATATTGCTTGGTACTACTTTTATGACCCAATGCACAGAACAAAGTCGAAGAGATGATTTGGAGTCTCTTGGTTATGTCTTGATGTACTTCTTGAGAGGAAGGTGATTACTGCTGTCTACCCTGCATTGTTTTTGTCAAGTGCCATGTTGAATGCCTTTGACCTGATTTATCTTTTATGTGTAGTCTCCCTTGGCAAGGACTTAAAGCAGGAACCAAGAAACAGAAGTACGAGAGAATCAGTGAAAAAAAGGTTTCTACCTCAATTGAGGTGGGTACTGTTATTATTGGCCTCCTTGAATGCATATTTTGCACTATTTCTTCAATTATCTGATAACTTATTGATTATTCAGGCCTTATGTCGAGGTTATCCAACAGAATTTGCATCATACTTCCATTACTGCCGCTCATTAAGGTTTGATGATAGGCCGGATTATGCTTATCTCAAAAGAATATTTCGTGACCTGTTTATTCGTGAAGGTGTGGAATTGTTCTCAATATAGAGTGCATACCATTTGTCTCAGTCCTCAAGATTATTGTGTATATACTTTCTTGTATGATTTGGTTTTCAATTTATGAAAGACCATGTTGGTATATTTGCTCATTACATTTGGCATTTGGACAGGATTCCAGTTTGATTATGTGTTTGATTGGACCATCTTGAAGTATCAGCAATCACAGCTAGCCACTCCTCCGGTACGAGCCATTGTAAGTGATTTTCTTTACTCTTGATTTTTTCCCTTGGGATCTTCCGCACCAGCCATGGATGGAACTCTGAAATGCTTGTTGTATCTTAGGGTCCCAGTGCTGGAACTAGTTCTGCAATGCCACCGGCTGTGACTAATGCTGATAGACAGACAGGTGATTACTTGTCTGGATGTTTCTTAAAGACATCGATGTTTGGTCAGCGTAATACATATTTTTCGTTATTATGCTCTAGTCTAATCCATGCTTATGTCTAGCTTACTATTCTTGGTGTGATCAGAACCTTTCCTGTCATATTTTTAAAATTTAAATATAATTTATTTTATTCGTTTTAGCTGCCTCTTAATTGTATATTTTTTTCAGCAACTCATTAATGTAGGTTCTCTAAGAGCTTTTGTCATATCCCTCCAAGTTTAGCTCTTGAGCTTTCTGTTTCTAATTTTTGTCCTTTCTCACAGGAGAGGAAGAAGGGCAACCTCCTGGTGTGGTGTCGGTGGATTCCACAAGACGAAGAATGTCAGGCCCCATTTTAAATTCTGTAAATATTTCAAAGCAGAAAAATCCAGTCACCTCTGATGCTGCTGTTAATAAGGAAGCCATGGTAAGTTGTTTGGTTGCATGGTTTCCTTGGGTTCCTTTTTAAAAATCAGATCCATCATTCTTAACTCACCAACTATGAATGTAACGTGATGTTAAATCATGCAGTTATCAAGTACCAATATCCTGGGCCAGTCAAGTGGATCATCGAGGAAAGTTGCTGTTTCTAGTAGCCGTGATGTATTTGTTGGTACTGATTTGGATCTTCGTACTCGTACCACTGAGGCTAGCCCTGGAACAACACACAGAATTTCAAGTGGACATAGAAGTTCAGCACTTGGATCTTCAGATCCCAAGAAAGCAGTATCATCTGGAAGAAATGCTTCTCATGTCAAGAATTATGAAACTGCAGTCAAGGGCATTGAGGGTTTGCAATTAGAAAATGATGAGAGGGCCCATTATTAATTTCTCATCTTTTCATGTTGTATATATAAATTTGAGTTGACTGGCACTGCAACAGTTGCGTATGTTACTGAGGTGAGCTGTGAAAGAAATCTGGGCATGCTGTTGTTATACCTTGTGCTCATACTGATCAAGCGGAGAAGCTGGAAGAACTTGAGCTAAATCAGGAGTTGTTCTCGCTGTAAAGCTCAGGTCTAAATTGACACTCTTGTGGCGGGAACCCTAAATTTTGTAACCTTTTCCTGTGAGTTATTACTAATTTACCAGATGCTTACAGTGTCATGTGGACCAGATAGTTCAAAACTATCAAATACCAGCAAAAACCTGTACCCATGTTATGGATAAGATTCAATGTTTCCATGATTGTCTGGAGATTACTGTGGTAATAGGAATGTACAAGACTTCAAGGCTCTTGGAATGTTTCTACCTTGTTAAATCTTATCAGCTTGAATCATTTATTTCTTTAGTTTTTGTTCTCTCGTAATAATATTTGTATCATTTTTATTTCAATATTATCATTTTTATTTCAATATTTTGGAAAGTTTTTGTTTAAATTGGCTGATCGTATGCTCATGTGTGGAATTCTTACTCTCCTTTCGGTTGCTAGCTGATTGAACAAGGACGAGCCTGCTGGTGCGCATTATTTGCACTAGTTAAACATTCAATCTCTTTTGTTCTGATTAAAAACTAATTGAACGTGTTACTAGTAATAATTATATGGATTTGAACGAGCATTTCTCAAATTGATTTCGAATAGAATTGATTTTATGTAAACGTGAGTTAGTTATGAAGTGATTTATTAAGGGTTTATTTACGTAAAAAGTGATTTTTGAATTATTTTGATCAAAATTGCTTTTGGGTGTGTAATTATCATAAACACGTTAGTAACCCATCTTGTCCTCATATGTCATTAAACACTCAAAAACTATGTAAGACATCAGACCCCATCTTATAAGGCTCAGGTGAAGCTAAAGGATATTTGGAGAGCCGCTTAACCGTCAGATCCTAGTTATGCATCCTATTTAGGGTTAAAAGTTCCATTGCTTGCTTAATGAACCTCTGACTCAATTCTTGCAGTTGCTTATTATTTGTAACTAACAAAAGTGTTCTCTCTAAAATCATGCTCCATTACGTTGTTGTGACCTTTTTTATGACAAGAGTGCTCGACATACCGTATAAGCAAACATTAAAATCTGGAAGAACAATATCGTTGTTTACAAAATAACTTTTTAATAAATCAATTTAACCATTATCTCTTAACTTCTAAATCAATACTTTGTACAACGAATTAGATACTTCACAGTTCTCAGAATCCCTTCTATCAAGTGTAAAATTAACATAAACAGAAATGAAGTCATAGTATTATAAGCACCATTAGCATGTCAATGTTGAGAATAAAGTGATCCATTAACTATAACTTTTTGAAGGACCTTGCAAGTTGCACCATAAATATTCATCATACTAAAAATAGAAGAAAAATGTGAGCTCCAATATAACCACATTTAGTCCGCCATGATGCTTACTAGAAGAACATATAATATTGACGAGAGAAGTCAAATTTGGAAAGAAAAAAAAAAAGTAATGAGTAACTTTCCTAAAAGCAACAACTAAAGCAAATTATAATCTATGAACAAAGTAAGGTGTATAATAAGAACACGAACAATCTTTGAGAAATAATTCTTGCAGTACATTTTACTCTCCTCTCATATTAATGGCAGCATCATACCCTTGGCTACAAATCTTTAAAACATCACGAACATATCAAGAAATAACATTGCACAATTCTCTTATAAGAGTAACTACAATAGTATCCTTAACATGTATAAGATAAAAAAAAATTGCTCTTGTATATAATCACTTCTATCCATAAATCTAAAAATAATATTCATTTGTTTCCTTTGTGATTCATTAACAATTACGCAAAATTTAAAATCATCAATCTCTTACCGAATGTACCTTCACACTTTACTAGATACCATGCAAGATCTCCTTTTGAATTCCATGAGAAATGTACTTTGAATTATCTAGAGCATTAGCATTACTTTTGCAGTTTATGATGCTAAGAGTTTGGTCATTTCAAGAAAATTGCCTCTACTTTTTATTTTTGTAATTCACCATGTCCTCTAAAAATGCAAGCTTAAAATGAAAACCAGTTAATTGAATTAATAAAGCTCTTGAGAAATAGTCAATTTTTGCTAATTTGGTAAAAACTCTGAATAGTTTATAATGATACTTTTCATGTGCTTAGATTGATTCAAAAGTTCTTGAATCAGTTTAATGTTACTAACAATGGTGGTAATAATAATGAGCAAAAACTCTTTTTCATATGATTAATAAATGCACAATTCTTCCTAATTTTGATCTTTCTCTATATTGTAAATTCTTTTCTAGTAAAGATATATAATTTAGGACACCCATTTGGATTTTCAATAAACAGCACAAGACAAACGGTTAGCAACATTATTGGGTGGAGATTAACCTTGTCAAAAAGAAAAACATCTGAACTAAGTAGATTGAAGTTATCCTAGATATTTATCTTCACAAAGGGGATAAATTTTAGCGTGACACTAATATAGACGACATTCTAGATAATCTTCACCTCTTTGATTAACTAGACCTTTTCTAGATTTACATTTGAAAGAATTAGTATCAAATTCATCAATTATGTCATTTTGAACCTTAGAAGGTTGCTCATCTAATGTCATTAGTAACTATGGTGATAAAAAAAAATGGTAGAAGTCACGTCAGTTGAAGTGGCCAATAGTAATAGTAATGGTAGCTATTAAGATTGTAGGTGTGGAGTGTTGTTGAATGTAAAATACTATTAGTTTGGAGAAATGATTTTAACTTTAAATTTGAGTTACTAGAGCACAAGTTAGAGATTTTATAATTGAATTGATTTTTTACTAATTTTTTTTAATTGAAAATATGAGTGAGCGTCATATTTATTTTTTATAGAACAAAGCTAAAAATTAATCAAATTTATTTATTTTATCTTTGTTAGAAGTTTTTATCTTGCATGCATCAATTTTTTGTCCTTAAGCATTATGCCTTTTCAAAATTAACAGTACTGCTCCTAAAACATTTGAAATTAATCGCATAAAAAATTATTTAAAAAAGTCCATAATTTACCAACCAAATCAAATGAAAAAATTTGCATAAAACTTAAAAACAGATATTGAAAATTGGAGTATAAACTGAAGTTGTAAAAGCCGAGGTTGCTACATTTTGTAATATGACTATCATTCCTGGCCCCTTTTATCAATAAACCAACATATAAATGTCATTTGAAGTACCTTCATTAGCAAAAAAAAGAAATTAACAAATCAACATGAACAAAATAATTCTGAGGGTGTCTGAAAATGTTTTTTTTTATGTAAAAATAAGTGGTAAAGAAAATTTTGGGGAGCCGCAACCAAGATAACAATTGCCTTAGCTCTTTAGAGATGCAAGTGACTGTTTTACTCGCAATAGTATTATATTTCTCATAATTGGTCATTGTGTAGAGTTTTATTCAAAATGAGAAAGTTTGAGTTTTTTTGCTACAAAATAAAGGGAAGTCGAAAAAAAAAAACTTCTCTCTCCTACCTAACCATTTTCACTGCACGTGAGAAGAATACATGTTTATTTTGGTACCTAATTTCCTGTTCTTAGAAAATGAAAATAGTGAAAATGTGTTTGGTTATTCATTTTTAATAAACAACAAGTTTATTAAATACTTTCTACACGAATTGTAAAATTAAAAACTGTATTCATATTTTTATTGATGAATAACTTTAAATAATTAATAATTATACATAATATTAATTTTACTGTAAATATTTTACATTTTATTGAATATTAAAAAAAGTGAGCAGAATAATTCCTTAACTTATCTGTTGTTATAAATTACATTGCTCATGATTTATGCAATCTATTCTTATATGTCTCAAGAATTGAGATATTGACCCCAGATGGAGTACAATAAAAAAAGGACAAAAGGAAAAGAAAAATTACATCTCTCTCTGTTGTCCCTTTCCTCTACCATCTATCTAACTTCTAAATTTCTCTCCCCTCCCCCTAAATTTCTTCTAATTCTTTTAAGTTCCAATTTTCCATTTTTTCTCCCTCCTCCTCCTTCTCCTTTATATATGGCACTTCTTGCATTTCTTATACTTACATTCTAGACATAATTTTATAAGAAAAAATTGTTTCATATTGCATCATTGCTTAGAGGTATATTATATTTGTCCCTTTTTTGTTTATTTCTGTGATGTTTCACATTTTAGTAATTTTATTAACGTTTTAGCTTTGATTAATGCACATCATCCACTGTTACAAAAAAAAAAGTGTACATCATGCATGTACTGATGCATCATTCCCTTTTTTAGGTGTGAATTTACTGAATTTGTATGTTAAAGTTCTTTTTCTAAATTTTGATAAAGATATATTGATTTTATACCATCTAAAATAATTGCAAAATATGTTTATAATACTTGATAAAAAATCGTTCAAAAATATAATTACAAATTTTTATAGTAAAATAAATAACTTTTTTCAGAACTAAAAGTTGAGATGAAAAAATAAATAGTTTTAAAAAGATGACGTAGATAACCTATCAACGCAAAATATATCATTTTATTATAGATTTTTTTTATTTGATAAAAAAATATAATAAATTATATATATATATATATATATATATATGTGTGTGTGTGTGTGTGTGTGGAGACAGGATCTTACAGTGATATAAGTATAAAAATTCTTACATCTAATTTAAGTTCTTTATTTAATTTAAATTTAACGAGTTTAATTTATTACTTCACCGGCCGTTAGATTTAAGTTAAATAAAAAGTTCAAATTGAATGTAAGAATTTTTAAACTTATACTGATGTAGGAAAATCTTTCCCCATATATATATTTTAAAGAATAAATATAAAATTTGATATTATAAGTGACAATCTATTTATTGTTTAAAGGTAAAATAGAAAATACAAAAGCAACACTAAATGTTATATTTTAAAATGGCATACTTTCTTAAAATAATATCTTCTATTAGTGTAAATATCTATGATGATTATTATTATTATTATTGAAATAATGTCTTCTATTAGGGTAAATATCTATATTATTATTATTATTATGTAAAAAAAATAAAAATATTTTGATTATATTGTCTAATTCAATTAATTATTATTTTATAATACATTTGCATAAATTTAGATTATGTTTTATAAAACACTTTTATTAAACAGATAAATGTAATCCAAATTCTTGATAAGTGAAAGGTGTAAGAGATATTATGGATGTGTTTTTGAATAATCAGCCAAAATAAATGCACTCTGGCAGCTCCCAACGTTATGGCTACAACTATTGCGTAAGGTACTGCGGTCAAATTATCCCATTTATTAAATGAATGCTATTATTTGAACATTTAAAAGTTTACCACATATGTAACAATTATATATATATATATAAACACCCTCCTCAGCCAAAAGAGACACCTTTGGTGTCAATAAAACGTTTTCCTTACAAAATTAACATGCTAGTAGTGCAGTAACGTGTTTCATACTGAATGATAGCCATCATCGTTCATTAGTTTAACTTCGAGAATCCAGTTCCCGTTAAACCATTTAAGCATTTACAATTATCCCTCAACTAATTATCAGAAACCAGTGTGTGCTACTTAGAATTTGGTAAATTTTTATATTTATGCAATACCTACTCTCTTAACAGTTAACTTTCTTCATATCATAACTTCAAAATAAAATAAATCAGAGGGGGAAAATATCCATACAACAGTGGTTGTTACTGTTTCAACGAAAGGAAAATACACGGGAGGATTGAAAATATTCCACTTAGGACATAGCATTTTGTTAGTTTGCTTCCAAAATTGCTTGCATATTGATTAAAGTGCCAGAGCAATTAAGTTAAATAAGTACACAGATCAAGATGAATTAGCCTCTCTAAAGACGCAGCAAATTACATGGAAAAGCTAAAACCAGATGAACCACTGCCAAAGTAGATGATAGTCCCCAAAGAATACAAAGGGCAACATATCTACATCGATTTTACTCAGAAAACGGAAAAGCTAATCCACATGAACAGTTAATGATGTAATATTACCCTAGTCAAGTTCTCCTTTCCTATTCATCAAGTCATGGTAGTATAGTAACACGCACATAGGTTGCCCAAGAATACAAAATATGAACCAAAAAATCATATTTCCCACCTGGCAAGCAGAAAATAACAATAAAAAACGAATATATCAACGTAAAGATAATAATTTATACGATAAATTATTAATAGATCAAATCTTTTAAACAGGACACTTTAGAGACATACCATTGAGTTTCTGTATCTATTTTGCAGGTAATTAGTGATCAAGACCAAAGGAACCTAAAAAGAGGGAAAAGACATTTATAAATTATCATGTCAAGTGAACTAAAAATGCAGATGTTCTAATTATCAACTGTCGGTGATAATAAGCAACCAGGCTTAGAAGGTTGGGTCTCTACGAAAAATTGTGAAAATTTTATAATTAAATAGTAATTGAAGCTTAATGATACCCAACTTCAATGGACAAACAGGAGGAGAATATGGCAACAACGCCTTTACCTGAAACATAATTCCGATAAAAGCCCACAACTTGAACATGTGGCAAGGAACGGCAATGCAGAACTGCACTCACATGAACGTGACACTGTAAGTAAAATTGCTAAAGGAGGAGAAAAGAATGAAAGGCTTCATCGAACATTATTACAACTTGAGTACAATAAATGACTCATGTATAGAAAACAATGTCAAGATTAACGAGTATGACTACACTGGTAGAAACTAGAACATATAACAGTACTGGATGCCATAAAAGAACCCATCTTTAAGACACAAGCACTATATACTTTAGCCAAGCTATTGTTGGTCACTGTGACCATATGGCTTTTTAGACAGCTCAAATACAACTGTTGTCTCGGTCATTTCTCTCATAGAAGTCAACTTTTTTAATCTAATTTTCACTCCTGTTCCTCACATTCACACGCCCTGTTAAGGGGAGAGGGGGAATGAAAATTTCAGGATTAATAACATTAACCGAAAGAGATAAACACACAGGTAAAGAATGGAGTTTATGACTGGTTCAGTCACTGTGCTTAGAATTTTTTTGTGTAAAGAATGCATGTTCTACAACTTTCTATACAGTTGTACAAAATACCAAGATGATATATTAAATTAATGACACAACTAAAACAAAAGGACTAATGGGAACATCCCTATATATGCAAGCCCACAAGCAGATACATGCACATCCTCAAATGGAGCATACATATCATATCATCTAAGCTTGTTATAGATATAACTAATTCGATGTCTCCTATGAGATTTTGTGCTGATGTCAGTAAGCTGGCCATTTCAGCTCACAAAGGTTGTGATAATGTCACCCAGATGAATATTTTCCTTAATAAATGACAATTAATTTCAATATGTTTGCCTTTTTTTTTTTATGAAAAACAGAATTTGAGGTAATATATAGAGCAATCTAATTATCTCATCCAAGGGGTCATCTGTCCAACATCTCCAAATTAAAGCTCTACGAGCAACAGTTTTAAAACTATTACTTCAATTGTTTTAAATTATACATTTATTGGCCTATTTAAAAGCTTAAGTTTATTAACTTAAATATAAGTATAGGCCTATTAGCTTATTTAAAGGGGTTTTTTAATCTATTTAAAAGGTCATATTATAAAGTAGCCTTTTCAATAGGCTTTTAAACGAGGCCAGATGTTTTGAAGGCCAAATAAGCCTAAAAGAACATGTCTCTGGTAAATGGAAGTACATGCAAGTTCCAATCATGGTAAGAAAGATTCTGTGAGAAATGAGTCTAGTTCAGATCATCAATATAGTATGGATGAATATTGTATGTGGGAGTTAAGAAGACAAAACTGCCTGGCTCTAATGAAGATGACCCTGTAGGATGAATCACAAGAGCAGTGTTGAATTTGGACTTTAAGCTAACTTAAATTTAAAAGCTAGCTTGAAAGGTGAGGATTGCTTTAACCTTTATAAGCTCTTATTTAGCCATATCGATGTAAGACTTTAATAAGCAGAAGTATATTTTGAAATGCAAAATATTTCAGAAGATTTTAAAATCTAATTGGATCGGGAAAAATGAATGCTAGGAATACTATACAACTTTTCTAACACACTATTATTGATTAAAATTTATTTAACATCCACAGAATCATGAGAGAGACTCATTTAGTAATGAGTGGAACCCAAATGACTCTATTACTCCTAATAAATTTCAACTAATTAAGAATATGTTTCTATCATTTTTCAAACTGAAAAGGGTGAAGAATGGGGTACCTGACCTGTACAATCACAGTACACTGAATTTTTTAAGTCTACACATGAAACTTACTAGACATCCTTGTTATTCAAAATGTCCTGGACTTGGATAACTTGCATTTCCTTTACAACTTTTTTAAGGGAATGAAAGCTTATCCAAAATTAAGAATAGCCAATATAGTTGTGGTCCGTGAAGCTTGATTGTGCTTTCCACAACTCAGAAGGTTTGGTCAATATCACATTAATCATTTTTTTTATGAAGTATGATTTCCATACCAAAAAAGGGGGGTTGAAGTTTGAATTTAAGTTTGGGTAGAAGTAAAGTATTCAGGCTTATGTGGTCAACAGATTTAATTACCCTTTTTTATTATGCAACAAATCAACAATTACTTCAATAAAGGTATTCAACCATAAATTATTTCACTTCAAACCTACTTCTGATTAAAATTAGTTTTGCAAAATTAAGAATGTCTAAAATCAAGTTTGTAAACGTCCACCAATCACACATTGTATAAAACTACCAAGGGAGAGATGAAAATTGGGGAGAGAAAGAGAGATGAACCACACACCTCATGAAACACAGCAGAAACCAGGAAGGCAATTAATGCAGCAGCACGCTGTATATGATGAAAATCACAATCATAAACACATAAAAAAACTTTAAAACGCAAGATGACAGCATGGACCCAAAAATCCAAAGGATAACAAGGTTATAGAACATGAGAAAAATAAAATGAGTTCCTCTCTTGTTCTTGCTCAATCATGTCAATCCACATACAAATACATGTGAATAAAGATGCCAATGTCAATATCTGAAGTGACAAAACAGAATATTCCAGGTTTGAATATTGTCTATCAGTAGAAAACTCTCCACTGTTGATTAGTTTAAACAATGGAAGATATTTACTTTGTTAATGTAAAAAAATATTTTCCATAAGAAGCTCATTCTTATTCCAAAAATCTCAAGTAGTGCCTGAAAAAAAATTACATTAATTAAAAAGTATTTAAATTATTTTTACACAAATATTTATTTATTATGATACACTGACTATATCCTAGGAACAGATACTTCTAAAGACATACTTTCATTTGTATTACACCTAAACTTTGCTTAAAAAGTATAGCTCAGGGTTCAATCAACATGATAGAAGGGTTCTCGATTTTACCTTGTGTATACCACTCCTTAGGCAGGGAAAATATATGTGGCGAACCATCCATTTGTGCACAGGCTGCAATGAAAAGAATTCACTCAGTTTAATAGTAATGGTTTAGAACTACACTTGAAAGTTATAAATAATTGCTGATAAGCTCTGAAATATAGTTTCAGAATTTTATATTCAGTAAATGATGGAACATTTTAGCCAGAATATTGGAAAATGAAACTGCTGTAAGTTATCTTTCTTCCTAATTCCTTCTTTTGTTAACATAGCCTTAGATACAAACCATGCTTCTACCCAGTGGCATATTTATTTCAAATATATATACATTGACATTGACAAGAATTTCATCCAAAAATTTGGTCAGCATATCATTTTGGAGGGGCAATTCTGAAAAGGAAACATACCATATTCCACATCCTCCAATACTGATGTCCGCAGCAGCAAAAAAGCATTCAACAAAGACAAGTCATAAGTTCTCTTCATGAAAGTACTGTGACAAAACATCCTAAGAATACGCCAGGACAAATAGCCTACCTCTTCAACAGTTTTGGCATTCCACCAATCTTTGTAGAACTCACGATCACCAAACCGAAGAAGCTCTGCAAGTATATTTAGCCTACATCGCAACAGTGCCTCTAAGGATAAACCACCACAGATATGACTTAATTTTTTTAAAAAAAAAAGCAATAAATAAATATTTTTCTAAATAAACTTTTTTAAATATTACTCTTAATAACTATAAGATGTATTCATCATAACTTGAAAGGTAAGCACTGGTGCATGTGGATACAGATCTAACTTAATACAGAGAATGATAAAATATAAAACTTATGAATAAAGTAAAGCTCTACAATTTCTTTATATGTCTTATAATATCTTTGGGGTGTCTTAGAATATTTTAGAATATCTTTGTATCTTCAAAGCATATTATGGAATCAATTAGTTATTTAATAGAGGACGAAATCTAAGTCATCGTTTCCTAATTTTATTTTGTTTCCTCATTTACAACCTTAATTAAATAAGGTCTGGTGATATTGTTGAACTTGGGCACATAATAGTGGTACTAAACTAGTACTTGGCCAGACCTAATCATTAGCACATCATTTCACAGCATATCAATATAATCTTAATATATTATTTCTTTCCTCACTCTTCCTCTTTCTCTACCTAAACCATACAATTGGGGTCAAAATGGTGCCAAAACCGTCCTCCATGAACTTTTGCCGCAATTTTTGTGTTGCCAATTTCCACAAAATCCAGAGACCACTATGACAATGTCTTTCTCCAACCATGCACCAATTGAATTATGGCAGTCAAAAAACCATGTTTACTTTCTAACCGGTAATATTCTGCCATGTTTCTTTCTTAGTGACCATCATCTGCAAGTAAAAAAATGTTTGGCCTTTTTATCTCCCGGTTTTTGAGACATCCCCCTCCCCATTTTGGTTTGTCTCTATATGACGTGTTTTCAACTGTTTGATTGCTGTTCTCACAGTACATACTTTCTTATGGTTTCCATATGACCATATTTGAGTCTGTCTGACTCGGATTTCTATCTGTTAGCCATTGTTTGATGGGTTATTCATGTTTAGGAGCCCCTTTTTCTTTTTGTTGGACAATCTTATTTCATTCCTCCAAGCCATTGTTCTGTCAATAAAGATGATCATTCTTTAGTATTTGAACCAGGTTCTATGAATTAGTATCAGACCCTTCCATATCTCTCAACTGTAAATGAACAGGTACGAGTGGTAACACTAGCATTTCAGTGTTCGCCCTAAACTTGTCACAAGGCTAGTGTACAGCCAACCCACGTGGGCGCTTGAGCTGTGGAGCATGGCGGAATATTAGAATCCAATTAGTATGTAGTAATTTGGTATTTTGTCGCTCCATTTGTCTTCTTTAAGTTTATTTTCCAGCAGTATTCATTTTGCATATTGCCTCTCTGAGTAGTCTATTCAGCTGTGACTTATTGTGCCAATATTGACAGTTATTTTCATTTTGTGCATTTATTCATAACAAGTTTAAAGCTTGACAGGTTAAAGTGGGAGTATTGGAAATTAGAATATCTAAAAACTATCTTATAATATCTTCCATGCATCTTAGAATATTTTAGAATATCTTTAAAATAACTTAGAAGGTCTTTATACTATATTGTAGAATCAATATGTTATCTAATTTAGGAAGCAATGGCAATGTTTGCCAATTTTATTATGCTTTCTTATTTACCATATGTATTAGAGTTTGGCCTTGGGCTTCTACTACTAGTGTTATGCTTGTAGTTCACCTAATTATTAGTATTCATTATTTAGTATAAATGGGACTATTGGGTTAGTATTTTGTAATACACCACTTTAAACCATACCAATATAGTCTTCTTATATTGGTTATAACTTTTCTCTCCCTTCCTCTTTCTACCTAAACCTCTTACTTTCAACACTTTGCATATCTGCCAACAAGAATTACTTAAAATAACAATGGGCAGAGCTGCAGTAAAGAGAGGCCATAAAACTAATTCTACGTCTTAAGAAACTTGTGAGTTCTGACAATAATAGTCTCGCATGCACACACCTTTGAATCAGTAGATCTACCCATCAATGTTGCAAATTTTCAATTACTCTTTGAGTTTATAAGAAGGTGGATATCATCTTGAGGATGGTTTCAAAGATAAGCAATAACAAACACACACATAAAGGCATCATCATTAGAACATTGCCAAGGTCAAAGCCAAGTTTTGGTTATTGCTAGTGCTGATTCGCCACAATCTTCAAGGCAACAAGCACAATGGACTAGAACTACCTCTCTTCAATTTATGGTGAGTATTAAAAAGAGAAGCATACACACACACATACACACATTCTATGTATATATACATTGAACCATAACAAAGCGGAAATACCCACCAAAGGTGGAAAAAGCAGTAGAACATGCAGAGCCACACATATACATTTGGAACAGAAAGCTTCAGAACTCTCTCAAGGCCATATAGAAGGTTTCCCTTCAAAGGATGTTGTGAGTTTTGTACAATAGGATTCATATACTGCAAAATGATATGAACAAAATGACGTCATAACTCAATATTGGCAGGAAAATAAGGGGGAAAAGGGTAGAAGTGGCTACTAAGCTACTACTTACTTGTTCTATTATAAATCCCATAACTCCTGTAAAAATTATCAGCTTGACAAGTTGACGAAACACCCAACCCTTTCTAACAGAAGGTGTGCGAGGATAGCTTGGCTATAGCAGCAATTCATTGCATAGGACATTTAAGTGTAATACATATGTGAGTAAAAACAATTTAAGAATTATCTAATAGAACAAATTCAATGCACAATTGTATTTTGGAAAACAAGTAAATGGCAAAAAATATTTACTAAAAGAAAGTCTGGCACAATTTTTGCAGTTAATCCAACCATTATGGGCACATTACAGTTTTCTTCTGACCTTCCTTTATTGGTTAAGTGATAAATATGATAAAGATTGCATTTCTTACTCATAAAACAAACACCAAAAAAAAAAAAAAAAAAATACAGAAGCTGACAAAGCCAACCCAATGTTCTCAAGAAGTGCCAGAAATGTACACTACATTTTTTTTTTTCATGCCAGCAAGTGATCTAATAGCATGTCCCAAAAATGATCCTTAGCACCATGCTAAAATGAGAAACAGCAGCTAAGATAAAAGGCAACCAGGTCAGCAAGTGCCATTTTACACCTTCAAAATTAGCCGATTGAGATGTAACTAAAAGAATTTGGGATAGAAGCTCACTGCAATGGGGAGGTATATAGCAGGATAGTGAATTTTAGTAGTGTGCAAAAGATTTCATTACACAGTACTTGATGATACAAAATGTTGAGCTATCTAAGGAAAAGTTTCAGTGCTCCAGGAATATTTAATCCTTCCATTGAAATCATGACACTTGACATGTATGATTATTTTCCCAATTTTAAAAATAAATTTTGAGATAAAAATAAAATAAAACTATCAAATTAAGAATTAAGAGTACTAACTGCAAAGGAGTAGGTACTTCAGGAATACTAAGAATTTATGTCCACAGAGAGAAAAAAAGAAATTATAACATCTAAAAAGCATGAAGCCAAGTGGGCAACATATGGAGAAGAAAGGGAAAAGATAAGATAGAAAATGAAAAGATTTTCCAAAAGATGTAGCATCTATTAAAAAAAATAAAGAAATTATCATTTGGACCAATCCCACTAATGAAGTGATTACAGAACAATATTCTCGCAGGATGAAGATTTAATCCCTAGCTGGGCAATTGTGTGTGACAGATTCTGACCGGACCTCTAACTAAAAACCTAAGACATTTCACACCAATGATATAGCTGCAAATGAGTGCATGAAACTGTGTCTTTTATGCACTTCAATCAGGAAGAAAAAATGCATGCAAATGTCAGTAAGAGAGGTGAAGCCAAGAATGCTACAATGACAAATCAAAAATAATCTTGCAAACAAAATGTATGTAAGTAAACAATTCGCTTAAAAGTTCTGCTACCTGATAGCATAACGTAGGAGCAAACATGAAGTATGCCAAACTTTTGAAGCTCACAGTGTGTGGATTCTCCATAACCCAAGTATTGAGCAAAGTTTCTCCCTATAATACAGGGAATCATTTGGAATAAGGAGCCAAACAGAACTCTTACTTTAACTAATCTCAACAATTATTATAGCAGAATATGAGCATGGATCAGGGAAGGACTGGACAGGGAAGCAGGATATATGTTATTCTAAAAATGATGAAACAAAAATGCATTTTCCCATATGATTAAGTTTTAAAACGCATGACCTCAGACTAAAGTTTGGTCATGCATCCTGTTCAAAAGCTAACCATCACATAAAATGTATAGCAAATTCTCTTATCTAAATATTTTAGTTTTCAATAAAATTAACCACTACCTTTTCATTTGAAACCGAAAGTGCTCTCATATCATAGTTCGTATGTGCATATGACACCAATTTTAACCACACAATGCAGGTAAATAGCATCAATGTGACACCTGATAAAAAAGCAGAATCGCACCTACACAGAAATGCAACAGATCAATAAGTATCTTTGCTATATTGACATCTATGAAATGAATTAGTACCTATAGCTATATCTATTATATCCAACAAGCAGACATCTTTCACTGTATCCCTTACAAGGAAATCCATATCTGAAAATAATGCCATAGATGCTCACCTTTTCAGTTCATGAAAACCTAGGGGTTTACCTAGATCCTATAGTTAGTTAAGGGCTTGCAAATGTTACATGGAAGTCAGTCAAATGCATCTGACAGCAGATGAATAATTTAGTTTCAATGGGCTAGGCTGCTGCTTTTATCACAATAGTATATATGAGGAAGCAATGAAGTTGTTTTCAATTTTTCCTTGACATAACCTTTTGATTAAAATTTGCAAGATGATTTAACTTCAACAATGTATGAACCAATCGTTAAAATGAGGTTCATCAAAGGGAATTAAATATAATGTCAAATAATGCCCAAAAAAATGTTTTAGAATCCCTTCCTAGATAAATGATATTAATCAGTAACTGTAATGCCTTTACCAAGTTAAGCTCATTATATTTGCAAATACTTCCAAAATTGATTTATCATATGTCATAATCACAACTGTCAAAGAAAGAAAGTATAAACTGAAAAGCCGGAATAAATTTTGAAGACTATGCTGACCTAAGTATTACAAAAACTGGATAGGAGAATTCAACAGTTGTGATGATTACATGAAGTAGAACAACAACCTGCAATATTCAAGTCAACATCCCCATGAACATAAATATTGAAATTTATGTGATAAAAAATGTCACCCTATATTCTGAAACTATTGTTACTTGGCCAGATCACTTACAGGTTCAGAAATACACTTTTGTTGTGCCAACCTTTCCACTGCGAAGGCAGCAAGTGGAAATATGTTAAGACTAAGACTGCAAAAGAAGCATAGATAGAATGTTAAATGACAATTTATGAACTAAGCCTCAACAAGGATACACAGAGCACCGTCTATTCTTCAGGGGATTCATCAAACATACCAACACATGAAAAGGGGCCAATCTCTCAACGATTTTGAACTAAACCAAAAGCCATACTTAATCAACCAACCATACTGCAAAACATATAATATAAAAAACAAAAGTTTAGGAAGAAAAACAAAAAGACCTAACAAATTGAAAGCCAAACACAGATAAACGAATATTTTCATGTTGGATATTCAGATCTTGCAAGGTAGACGTAAAAAATTTATGGAAGAGGCAAACCTTCATTAAATTCTCAATGATAAGTCTGCTGTTCACAGCAACAAGCACTACTATACAGAGATTGAACAGCCCTGCATGACTCTGTCATTCATTTATCAATAATCATTAGTTAAAGACAAAAATAATAGATGATGCCAAAAAAAAATTACCTAAGCATGCCCCTACAAGACAACAGGAGGTTCGAAAAGCATTTCCCAATTTATTAAATTAAACGGAAAAAATGATCCAAGTAAACAAGCAGTACATATAAAGAAACAAGTAGCATGCAACGAATGACATTAGTCTATAGGGGGAAAATCCTATCCAAAATAAAAATAAATTCATTAATATTTGTAGGACATACAAGCACTGGAGGTATATAAACGCAAATTACAATTGCTTTCTAACTTCTATTATATTTTTAAAACGGCATAATTTTCTCAACTACAAGAACCTGAAAGTGTCACGGATGGAGGCAATTGCACAATATATTCATATTATTACTACTACAATTCGACGTGTTACATCTACGATGATTTTTTTCCGTGAACTCAGTGGTTACACACCAGGAAACTCGGCATGCACAATTAAAATCAAGACATAAAGGAAGGAATAAACCTGTTTGAAAATGTTGTCGGAGCTGAGAGGGCTCTCCTTGATTCTCCGGTGGGCGGGAACGGAGGGACGGTAAGCGAATTTGAAATCAGGGACTGGTTCTCGATCAGCGACGTCATTATCGGCGGCTTCATGATTCAGCATGCGATCTTTATCCACCTCGCTGCTCTTGCCATTCATGGAGTCGTCAGAGCCTGAATCTCTGACCGCATCGTCGGCGTCGAAGAGGCCACCGGAGGAGGTGGCGCTGGACCTGCGCCGCAGAGAAGGCCGTTGGAGATCTGAGTCCCTTTGAACGATGGCGGCGGTGCCTACACCCTCAAGCGATTCGGAAATCGCCATCGGCGAAGGGGAACGGTTGTTTACTCTGCCTCCACACAGCACTCACGTGGCGATGCAAAAACAACTGATTTTTTTAATGTAAAAATGACTGCCACTGTGTTTTATAGAGAGAGGGGGAAGAGAGGGGGGGGGGGGGAATCAGAATCAATAAAGGAAAAGATTCCAAACGAGGCCGTGCGATAGAAGAGCGAAGTTTCGCGAAGTGGCCAAAAATGGAGATTAGACCATTTTTTTTATATGTTTGGTAAAAAATTAAAGGGAAAAAAAAAAGAGAGAATAAAACAGGGGAGTTTGGGGGGAAGAAGTAGCAAATGGGAGACGAATAATGGCCCAGTCACTGGTCAGACACTTCGGAATATTGATTTGCCTTCCAAATTTATTTTTTCCGTTTTTTGTTGCTTGTTTTAGGGAATGTGATTGGAGCTTTTATTTAAGAAGCAGGCGTTGTGAAGGGGAAGGTGGTGAATGCATTGATGCAGAGCAGAGTATGAGGTTGGACTTGGCGAAGAAAATACGCGGGAGTCACCGCTTTCCCTTGACACGTAATGTAACCGCGGGCTTTTATTTATTTCTAAAGCAATGAACGTCCTTGAGTTGATTACGTCATGGGCACAGACACGAGCAAGGCTTCGCGACCATAACTCCTCCCTCAAGAGTCAATGCTCAAGCTGTTGTCCCTTTCTTTCTTGAGCCGTATTTATATATTATTTTGTTTGTGTGGTCCTCAAATTTCAATTGAATACGCCATTGTGGCATTCTAAAGATGCGCAATCGGAAATTTTTACGCTCTTTTTAATGGATTAATGAATAAGATCCTGTCATTATTCCCGTCGATTTCCTTGTTACTCTTGATCTTTATTTAATCATTTAGTTTAACTTTCGAAGTTATTTTGCGAACGCTATTTTAGGAATGGTTCAATGACCACTTACGACTTCCGACCCAAGTCATTTTCTGGTAAAATAGGTCAATAACAAAAACAGGGCCTTCTTAAAGCTCCCATGAACTTCGGCACGCAGAATCAGACTCCCAAACTTGAGAAACATTTCAGGCTATTAACTTATCCCGCACTGAACAACAGAATCGGAAGCCGAACCATGAGAAACCAAACTAAAACCACTTTTAATCTCTTTGTATTATTTACTCGAGTATTAACGAGTGCATTGATAGTTACTTCCAAACATCTATGATACCTTAGTAGGAATCGACATAAAGAGGCACGTCAAATGTAATAACAACATGAGCAAACGGCAACACAAATCACCGTCAGACATTTTTCTATGAAAAACAAACAGTATTTTTCAAGTTAACTGGAAAAGTTGCCCAAGAGTCAACCATCATAGTTTGAAAATCTTACAATTTCAATATCACTGATTCAATATACCCACCCATGGATAAGTTAAACGCGCTACATCAATGCTTAAATTGTGACAACCACAGAAAACAGCCTCCGACAGCCGATACAGCGAGATCTAAGAATTTCGTATTAAAATACCGACCATTGCATGTAGCGGAACCCAACATCATCCGTGAAAAGTAGATATACGAATGTTTTGCCTCAGTGGTCCTCCCATCCTTGGAACATCGAATAGAACAAGTTGATAATTGTTTCAATCGGGATAAGTAGCAATAACCACTACAAACACGCTACTAATGACCAATTTCATTTTATTAATACCATTTTCAAATTGAACAAAAATTATGCAACCAAAGAAAAAAAAATTATAAATAGAAGCATAATATGTAACCCTTGAACCTCAGTCCCACAGCACACTGGCGCCAATAAATCAATGTTCTACGGACGCCATATATCAGCTTTGAATCCATAGAAAAAGTCAAATTATCTCAACGTATGTTAGAATAACCAAAACGTATATTAAAAACCTTGCTTGTTAGAAAAGGTGCAACAACGACCAATACACCAATTCGGACAATAATGCCATTTCACATTGCAAGTACTTATCACTGGGAACACTCAGACGACTGACAATGTAAATTAAATTACTACACCTATTAAAAAAGTCAAACAAAGTTTAAAAGCAGAAATACAACAGATGGGGCAAAAAGGAAAAGAAACATTACATAGCACTTACCTCAGAAACCAACTTTCCTCTAATATGTTGGAACAAAAAATCTCCTCAGAGGAGTTCAGCAACATTTGAGGGCAGCTCCTCAATTACCACATTGTAGAACTTCTGGATGTCATACAGCATTTTTTCATCATCTCTTGTGACAAAGTTTATGGCAACACCTTTCCTACCAAATCTACCACTACGTCCAATGCGATGGAGATAGTTCTCAGGCTGCGTTGGGAGATCATAATTTATAACTAAAGACACTTGCTGGACATCGATACCACGAGCCAAGAGATCAGTAGTAATTAAAACCCGGGACGACCCAGAACGGAATTCACGCATAATAATGTCCCTGGTATTCTGATCCATGTCTCCATGGGTTGCTGAGACTGTGTGGTCTCGGCTTCGCATCTTGTCAGTCAGCCAATCAACCTTTCTCCTGGTGTTTACAAAAATGACACTCTGAGTGATTGCCAATGTCTCATAAAGATCACAGAGTGTGTCAAGCTTCCACTCCTCTTTCTCAACATTGACATAAAACTGCTTTATACCCTCCAAGGTGAGCTCATCACGCTTCACAAGGATCCTCACAGGTTTGTTCATAAACTTCCTAGTTATCTCAAGTGCCTCAGGAGGCATTGTGGCAGAGAAAACTCCCACTTGAATCTTGGTTGGAAGCAGCTGGAATATATCATAGATCTGATAACATGAAATAAGGTTAAAGCACCTATGCATGAATTCTTTTAGAACACCGAATCAGTAGGCCAATAAAAATAAAATCTCCAAGATAATTCAAAGAAACTTACTTTCACATTTTAGTAATACTATTGATAGACTTGGAAATTTCACATGCATAAAAAGTATAAATCTCAAGTCTGAAAAGATAAAGTTTAAAATAAAAAATAAACTATCACAAATACAAAAAAGGAGATCAAAGAAAATTTTAATGAAGAAACTTGATGAACATGAATAAGTACAAGTTTATTATCAATATACAAAACTACAAAGCATGTGGGTATTACATATCACATGAGATATAAAATGAGTAATTAATAAAAGGAGTCACAAATAAAAAAATCACCTGATCTTTAAATCCACGTGAAAGCATTTCATCAGCCTCATCCAATACAAACATCTTGATGTAATCTGGCCGAAGAGACTGCCTGCGCAGCATATCAAATACACGACCAGGAGTACCAACAACAACATGAACGCCACTTGATAGAATACGTTGATCTTCACGAACACTGGTACCTCCAACACAAGCATGAACCTTCACACCTAGATAATCTCCAAGTGCCCTCATAACCTTTTCAATCTGCTGAGCAAGCTCCCTAGTTGGTGCTAAAACTAAGGCTTGGCATTCTGTCAAACTATAGTCAAGTTGCTGCAGAATTCCAGAGCAGAAGGTGGCCGTCTTCCCAGTTCCAGACTGTGCCTGTTGTATAACATCAAGTCCCTTGCAGAATGGAACTATTCCCCTTTGCTGAATAGCTGATGGCTTCTCAAAACCTAACAAACAAATATAAAACATAGTTTTATATATGAATAACAGCAGCCAGACAATACACATCGTCGTTTACACAAAAATAAGAGTGAAATAAAGCCATACACCATTAAAAGTGTAACACTGCATTTTATCATACACTTGAGAAATAAAAATAGATAGAAGAATGCCAAAGTCCCAAAAAACAAGAATAGCTCCGACTGTCATATCATGTAAATAAGAAAAAACTATTATTTGGTATAAAATATAAAGATATAAAAAAGAAAGTAAAAGAGGAAAAAAAGAAAGTTGAATTTACCATAAGCATAAATGCCTCTCAGGAGATTCTCTTGCAAGCCCATAGCATCAAAACTGTCATAAACCTCATCATATGATGTGAAGAAATCCTGTCCATCAGATGTAAGCCTGCAGCCATCACATTAATCAAACAACTAACATTAGAATCGCATCAACCTTTGCAACTTGCAAGTAAGTACATCAAATTAAACAGAAACATGCAAAACAATTTGGTAATGAAACAGAATTATATATAACATATTGAAGAACAAGAACAAATATAAAATAAAAGTGGCAGTTCTTACAACTCATTCATCTTGGAATCATATTGACGACCATCAAATTGTGACGCCTCGGGTGCAAGTCCTGCCATGACTGCAAGATGAAAAGAAATAGTATTATGATGCCATTTATTAAAGCATGTTTAGTTTGGTGTTCAGCCAAATCCAAAGCCCATTTGCAGCTCAAATGTGCCTCATAAACAGTGCCAACTAGTGGTGCAAAAGCAAAACGATGTTTGCGCTCAAACATTATTCTCTCACTGCAGCCAAACAGGGGACAAATTATGTAGCTTGGCCATGAGAAAAAAAAATTGCCTGTGTGTGTATCAACAAAAATACACCAATAATTTAATATTAATACTCGATGATGTTTTCAACATATTGTAGTTATACTCCATTTATTTATTTTATAACGCCCAAAAAAATTTACAGATTTTTTTTAACATAAATTTGATAACTTCAATTTATTTCAAATCTAACTCAAGACATAACCAGTGCCCCATTCACTTAATTTCTCGTCTGAAAGTAATATATATCGACACTGTACCCTAAGCCAACAAAATCATTTTTCAAATAAATGTTGATGTTTCCAATCACAAGTCACTTCACTCTATCTAACTTCTCATAAAATCAAGTTTCCAATCACACACGTGAAGCAGATCAGCACAAGCAAGAGTGAAGGAACAAAAACAAACCATTAGTGCAAAAGAACACAGTCGGAACAAACGCAACATCAAATTTACCAAAATAAAATTGATGGCGCAAGCGCAAAGGAAACAAATCCAATCGCCATATAACATCATCGGTAACCAAAGAGAAACATAATTAACGGCAAAAGGAACTTCCTAAACGTTCGACAAAAGAAACAAAAGCTAAAAAAACAAAAAACGAAAATCCAAGGACCATAGCGACATAAACAGATCGAATCAATAAAATCGCAATAAAAACTACAACGATTAAATTAAGACGAAAAAGAGAGTTACAAAAATGAGAGATAAAATGCACCGAAGAAGATGGAAGGAGAAAGAGCGACCTTAGGGCGTTAATCGGAAGAAAATATCGAAGGCGAAGAGAGTGGTGAGGCCGTTGGTTAGAGCAGTTAGGGTTTCCCAAACTGCTCAGATCTACGCCGCGGAAAGAGAGAACAAAGAGCGATTTTACGAAAGTGAGTGGGAACTGTGAAAGATTATGGCAACACACACGCCCTCCTTTTTGGCTTTGGGAGTGTGCTCTTTTTCGCGATTCCTATTTTGCCCTTGTCCTTACCCCCTCTTTGCACCCAGTCAACGGGCACAGGTCAAACCGCCATGAGATTTGAGGATGCACGGTTGTTGGGCTCCGGCCCATAAACAGAAAATTATGGAGTAAATCATTAATCTATTAATTACTACTATGGTCCAAAACACAATCCGTTAATTACCAGCAAGATTTTCTATTTTAATAATTAAAAAATTTGGATTATTTTGTAGTATTAACTAATATAATATGATTATTTTAGAGAAATAAAAAATATTTTTAACGAATAAAAATCTATTATCACTTATTGAAATAATTACTCATAATATTTACTATTATAATAATTTATAAATTTGAATTCGTTGGTATTAATAAGGAACATGATAAGATTGTTTTACAGAAAAATTTATATTTTATATCAAATAAAATTTTATTATTAAATTTAATAAATTTTGCATTTTTATTTCTCTAATGTAATTATTGTAATATGTTGATCAATAATAAAAAAAAAAGTAGACCCATGATTAGTCAATAATTAAGCATGAAAGTTAATTATTTTTGTAAACATCATAGAATGATTGAGAGTTCACCTGTTCGTAAACGTAAAATATAAATTACTAAGACTATTTATTTTTTAATTTCACGATAAAGCCTATGACATGATAATTAAAAAATGATTTTTTTCTATTTTTACCATTGAATTTTTAAATACGTGTCCAATAATACATAATAAAAAATTATATAGTGATTTTGATCAAAAATCATAAAATGTAATATATTAATAATATTAAGTATTTTACTATGAAGGTTGTTATTTATTAATCTCATTGTTGTATTATTGGACATATGTTAAAAAGTTATTTTGCTTTTTCTTCATGTGATACTGAGTCTCAGGATATACATATTTTTACGTTTGCTTTTCCTTGTCTGGAATGCCTTTTGGGGAGTGACTAAATGAAAAGAGAGAGTAATTAATAACAGGGAACATGAATGAACAAAAATAGAGAATATTTAGAAGAGTTTATTAAAATAACATATGACTCGTGTAATTTTTTTAGTTTATTTTAATAAGTTTTATAATAGGCATTTAAAAAAGTTAATAAAGATAATATATTGCTCATATAATTTAAAAATATATATTTTACTTAATTATATGATAAATTTAGTGTCATAAATAATAAACATTTGTGACTTATTTGGAAGAGTTTATGAATAGTATATTGAAAAAAAAAATGTAGTAAGTCTTAAAACACATTCTGATTTATTTATTTTTTGAGATTTATTTAATAAATTAAAAGAAGGAAGAGTAAATAAAAGAAAAAAA